GCGCAGCTAAACTTTTTTTAAATATCGATATCGAAAGCTGCTTTTTGTAAGTATATCTCTTAAGTTTAATGATCTTTAGTCTTCATATTAGACATGTAACTTTTTGTTTAGTATAAAAAATCAAATTAAATATCTTTGCTAAGGCTCGAGCTGATTCTGGTTTTGGTAGAAGAAGGTTATTAGTCGTCCACTCGTCCGCTCTTTGAGCTATATTTATTTGAAGAATTATTGAATAACGAATTTTAAAGCTAACATGTGAAACGTAACCTCAAATTTGCACAGCTGTTTGTTAAACATAACCTCAAATTTGCCAAAATTTTGCCTCGCACAGCTGATTGTGAAACATAACCTCGAATTTTGTTATCTTTTGACTCGCTCAGCTGCCCAAATTGAATTCAGAATTCCTGCTAACGCTTGTTAAATGTAGTTTGGCAACACACACACACACACACACACACTCGCACACACACACATGAGCATAAAACGCAGTCATAACTTTTGCACACTAATTAAAAGTTGAAAACTGGCTACTAATTTGCACCCAGCCAAACGCCAGTTAATTGCAACAAATCTCAACGTGTTTTTTGTTTGTTTTTTTTTTTATTGTTTTGCAGGCAGCCGCAGCTATCGTGGGACTTTCTAGAGACAACAACGGTCCACAGAGATACCCAAAACTGAACAGACCCACAGAACAGCAGCAGCCGGAGCCAAAGTCAGAGCCAGAGCCGAAGTCGGAGACGGAGACGTAGAGCCAAGCAGCAGACAAAGCGCCAGGCAGAGCAGGCGGCAGTTCTAGCAAAATGCACGAGAGACGCGTCAAGAAGTAAGAACAACAAAGAAATAACTATTAACTCGTCCAACATGTCGAAGATTAAATATCCTATAGCTTAGGCATGGTAAATTTGAAGTAATGCTATCAGTAGGTTAGAGAGGGAACGAGAGAGAGAAAGCAATAAAAAGAGAGAGAGGGAGAGACAACTAATAAGAACAAATGGATAGATAAGGAAAGTGCAGACTACGAACGCAAGAAGAAAGAAAAAGAGACAGAGAGAGAGAGAGAGAGAGAGAGAGAAAGAGAGAGAGAGAGAGAGAGAGAGAGAGTTAATGAAAATAATTGATATAGTCATTTAGAAAAATAAAGTGACGGCCAGAGATAACAGTTAAGGAGAGAGAGGAAAATGAAGCGACAGGGAGAGGATAAGAGAGAGACAGAGAGCTTATAATATTAAAATGAGAGGAGGGTATAGGAAAAGAGATCTATATAAAATGCAGGTGTTGGAGTCAGAGAGAGAGAGAGCAAGATTACAGGTAAAGAAAGGGAGCTATGATAAATATATCTATATAAAAGGTACCTACCTGGAGAGAAAGGTGAAAGAGAGATAGATAGAGAGAGCAAGGGCTGATGATAGAGAGAGGGAGAGTAAGAGGGGAGACGTGTAGCGCAGGAATCGAGAGAAACACGCTTGCAAACAATTTTCCTTCGCAAGAATATAAAATTGACAAAGAAACATGCTGAATATTTGAATAATTTGTTAACCTCTCGACAGACTGAAGGGCGGGCATTATGTGGCCACACATGGCCGGCTGACGCCCGATCCGCCGTATGTGCACTCGAATCGCGGCTATTCGACGGACGGCGACGACTCGCATTCGCATCGGGCGCACTCGGAGTACACGCTGGCCCACGAGCGCATCTCGCCGCAGTCACAGTCGCAGGGTCATTACAATTCATCGCGCAAGGTGCGCAGCACGAACGGACAGCAACACCTGCAGGACGGCTATAGCCACAGCCAGATGGGCCTATCCAGCACGCCGGACAACGGCGGACCACGCTCGCTGAGCGGACCGCCGCCCACGCGCCAACCGCCGCGCGCCCCCTCCGCCCTGAGCTACGACCAGGCCGGCGATGCGGGCAGCGATATCTATGTGACCAGCGCCGCCTACAAGGCGCCCTCAGAGATCAGGTGAGTCCCAAAGCCCATAAATCCAATTCTATATTCCTGTTTAGCTGCCACAGCCGAGTCGACTCGCTTACGTCCGTCCGTCTATCTCCCTTTCGCTACCTTTTCCCAAATTCGATAGATATCGATATTTAGCTTTGGTTTCTTTTGGTTTATCTCGAAGCTAGCTGAAAATAATATAAGGCTTGCAAAGAAGTTATTGAAGAATGTAATTTGTATAAATTTGGAGCAGAAGAAAGAAAACGACCCTAAAAAAACCCAAAAATCCAATTGAATCGCATCGAATTTTCAAATATGACAAACTGGTGGATATGCCCGGCACGCATAGCATAAATTCTCTCAATGATTCTTGAAAATGAGTTTCGAACCGATCGGTCGATAAACAGAACATTTTTCCTACAAGCGTTTTCCGCCAATTTACCGCTGTTGCGGGTGGAATTTGCCAAATCGCCAAAACACGTATTCATTAGGTTCTTATGCAGAGCTGTGAAAATAAATAGGAATGGATTTTCCAAATTGAATTTGAACACGGATCTTTGAAAATGAGTTTGAGGCCGATCGAAGGTTAAACAAAAAAGTTTCACACAAACGTTTTCCACGATTTTTCCACACTTGCGAGTGGAATATAAACGATATCCCGTCATAACGTGCACCTTCATCACATAGGACGACTGATGGATCTCCAACCAGTCAGTCAGTTAGGACAAACCTGAATTCTTGGATGTGGAAGCCCGGCTACACAAACCGAACCAAGAAGTAGGGAGTTAGTTCCAGCCTTTTTTGGATTTGGAGTCCTGGTATTAGGCTAAATGTTAAAGCAGCTGGGAGCTGAGCTGAGCTGAGGTTAGCTTCTAGTCGGGCTAGAGCACAGGAACCTGTAAAGCTTCTAATGTTTTGGAGTCGAATCCTTGCAGCCGGTACAGCCAGCGTCCGGTGTCGCGCGGAGCACCACGCAGCGTCTACTCGGTGGCCAGCACGGCGAAGACCGGCCGCAGCGGCCGCTCCACGACGAAACGTGGCGCCAAGATCGAGACGATGTCGGCGCCAAATCCGTTCTGCCCGAATGTCAAGGGCGTCTGCTGTCTGATGCTGCTGCTCAATCTCGGGCTCATACTGGTCACCCTCGGCTTCGTTATTGTGGTGCAGTTCTATGAGCCCGTCTATGTCTGGTAAGTCTTCATAGATGCCACAATTGGACATATATTGTGATGTGTGTGTCTTTATCTTGCAGGATATTGGGAATCATATTCCTCATCTTTGGCTTTCTCACGCTGATCGGCTGCATGATCTACTGCGTGTACGTGTGCCGGGACGCAAAGACCCCATCGCAGGTGCGCAACGAGGATCTTTACTGGACGCGACACTGGCAAAAGAATATTGGTTATACGCCGCAGGAGATCAACTACAAGGCGGACAAATATGATGCCTACTCGGATCGCTACTCGGTCAGCAAGCTGAGTGGCAAGTACTCGGATCGCGAGAGTCAGCGCTACTGAGAAGGGGTGGAGAGGGGAATATCTATGGCAAACACATTCAACTAATTACTGAAGCGAGGGCCGACCGATAAGTAGTTGAATAGGATAAAAGCTGTGCTTTACAACCAGCTGTTAAATTAGCCAGGCACCGCTTTATCGATCGATAACAAAATCGATATGGTGCTAGAGATGGCACTTGGCACAAATACTTATTAGCCAGCGCCCTCGCACGCACAACATTAAAACAAAACAAGAAAATGAAAATGAAAAACCTGGCGCATGTCTATAACTTAAATAACTAGATAATAGTCTTAAACGGTTTATTAACAAGGCCTCAACGTACCTGCTGCAAGCTGCTTGCTAGTTTGTATGTTCTTAATCATAAAGAGAGAGAGAGATATACATATATACGAAAAAAGATACAGAAAGAGTATTGGAATGCTGCCATATTTGAGAGACAGTTTTTTTTTTTTGTTGTTTGCTTAAATTCTAACGGAAATGCTTGATAACAATATGCAAAGCAATAATAAAACAATAATTATATGAATAAACATTCAATAAAGTGTAAAAATGTAACAAAACGAGGAACATCTAATAATCTAATCGTCGATTTCGAAGGTTAAACATATATCATCAAAATCGTAAGTCGTAAGCCCCAAATTCAAATTCAAATTAATCAGCCCGCACTTTTTGGGAAATCTTGGCATTGCCAGTCGTGTAGCATTCAGCTTTTGCAATAATACCTGTCGAAGACACTGTAATATCGCCCAATAGTGGCAGCATTGTTATGTTAAGGTGAGTTTTTGGTGGAGCTTCTGTTAAAAAGAGGAGTTATTCTGCTTAAGTCCGCATACTTCGTTAAGTTCTGTTAAAGTGAGGAGTTTCTGTTAGTTGGCGATGTTTTTTTTTTTTGTAAACATAGCAACTTTCGTTAAAAGCAATTTAACATTTAGGGTATTCACAATTAAAGTAGAAGTTGACAAAAGCATAAAATACACTCAGACAATAATTTGTTCTGTAAGCCGTTGATCGACTGAAATCTGTGATTTATCATGCCAATTGTGCATCGTTCAAGTATTGTTATAAGATTTGTCAGCATTTGTGATGTTATGTTAATTTTTTGGCGATGTTGTTTTTCTTTAAGCCGTGGTGTAAGTTATAATGCCTCTGTTAAACGGAGGAGCATTCGTTAACAGTAAATTTTAGGTGGAGGTAACATTTGTAAATTGATTCGTTAAGTTGCAATTCTGTTAGCAGGCGGTGTTTCTGTTTGTAAGCATACTGCTTATGTTTGTACTATTCACAGTTATATACTTGCAAGCTAATAAAAACTAAATGCAGTCCCATTAATCTTCACTCTCTACCCCAATTTTCGGAAGCCCAGACACTGTACTAGTTCTTAATTGTAGACTTGCATATGCGGTGTTTAAAATTTTCGATAGTTTTGTTAACAGCGCTGTTTTTGGTATTTTTCTGATATGCTCAACTGAACTGTTAAGTGGCTGTTGTTGCTCAAATAATATGCTAACCCTCCCTCACCTTATTATTATCACGCTGTTAACCAACAGTTGTGCTCAAAGAGGTCTGGGAAGCGGTACGGCGTGTCTTGTATAGTTTAGCAACAAAATATAAATGTTGCTGCGTACCAGCAATTGCAGCATAGTTAATTGACTTTTAATTCGTTAAGCGTTACGGTTATTTAAGTTTTTAAAGTGTTATCTAGTGTATATGTGTATTCCCCAAGAAATTTGGTGCCAAAACGAGTTTGAGTGCAAAGTGCTTAAAAAAGAAAAATTTAAATAAATGCGAAGCAATAGAAACCAAACGCAGTAGTTCGAGTGTAAATTGAGTGCAGCCAACCAAGTTATTTTGAGTGAGAACAATTCAAGAATTCATTAACTGGAAAATTAAAGGTAATACTGAGTGCATATAAATGGAATTTCCTACTTTTAGTTGGCCGAAAATAGCAAACAGCGCAAAATGCGTTGCTTTGTTTTCGTAATAGTGCCCGTGCTGCTGCTGCTGTTGTTGTTGTTGCTTTACGAAAGTTCCAGTTAGCTTTGCGCTTTCGAGTACATTGTCACTCGATATGTGTGTGTGTGTGTGTGTGTGTGTGTGTGTTGGTGTCTGCGTCTGTTTTGTTTATGGCTCGTCTGTGCTTGTGTGCGTGTCAATTAACGTTCTTATTTTGAGCGTCGTGCGCTGTATAAAGACAGTTTAAAACCTGTTTATGGGCTTGAGTTTCGTCTTTCGCTTTTACGCTTTTTTTTCATACTGTTTCCTTTGCCCTGTTCTTTGCTCTCCGCGCCCACTCAATGCGACAGCGTAGAAAGCAGCTTAAAGATGCAAATATCTCGTTTTGGCAAAGCGCTGTTCAAAATTGCGACTTTCCTTCTCTTTGAGTCTGCCTGCCCTGTCTTTCCCTGCCTTGCCCATAGGCCCGCATATGAAAGCATCATCTGTCTCGCATTAGCAACAGCGGCAGCTCTTTATGTGTGAAAAAATAACTGTGTATAAACTCAATTGACAACTGGCTGACTGACTGTCTGGCAGAGCTGCAGCATCTGCCATGTGGCAGGCAACATTATTAATATGTATATCCTGTGCCCATTGAAAATGGCTCCAAAAGAAGGTTATATTGGTTTGTGCGTGTTTATGTAACATGCAGAAGCTGGCACTTCCTACCTCAAAGGGTATATTCATACTCAAGATCAGCATCAGCATGCCGAGTTGATCATGTCCGTTCGTCTGTTTAAAAATAAACTATGACTCCATGTGTATGTGTGTGTAGGTGTTTGTGTAAATATGTTTAAGTATATTTACATAAGACGGAAGTTAGAATATTTATTATAAGAGTTCACAACTTCATACAGGGTATGTCGTAGTCGAGCACTCTGTATGCCTTTCCCATTTGTCGGCTCATTTTAATCAAGCCTGCAAATATTACATACGCACATACATACGCATGCATGCATGTGTGTGCACACATGTACATACGCATGCATGCATGTCTGTGCACACATGTACATGTGTATGCATGCATGTCTGTGCATGCACAGAGCACTGGGCGGGGGGTGGGCTTTACTCTTAGAATTATTAACAGCTGCCTTTTGTTAGGCTACAACAACAAGGCTTAGTTTAAATTATACGGGCAATGTCTGTCCGTAGTCCGTGGTATGTGTTAGATTTATTCTCACATTTTCCATTTACTGGCAATTTGCTTCGCTTTGCAGTCGCCCGTCGAAGTTTTAGCACAATCGCAACTGTTTAAATATGAGAAATGCCGACATATGCACATACAATTGTGCATGCATACAGCTGTATATGCATATGCATGTATATGTGTGTGTACATTCGCACTTGCTGCTGTGCATATTCATTTGTTTACATTCGTTGATTTAGACAATTTGAAGATTCGTGCTTTCCCGCAAAATATTCAAAATGTTCTCAAGCAGATACGCACTTGTATATAGAGAGAGGGAGATAACGAGAGAGAGAGAGAGAGAGAGAGAGATATTTTTGTGTCTGTGACGTCAGCATTTTAAAATGTTTTCAATGAGCAACAAAACCTGTTTTGTTTTTTTTTTTTAACATTCGCTTCATGCAATACACCTGAATATGAACACCTTTAGAGGCAGAAATATATTTAAATATATGTATATTAGCCGCTTATCATTGAATGCTGCATATGTATACAATTTATTGTTTATTATTATTACTATATAATATATATTATAAAATATACTATTGTTATATATATAAAACTACCTGTAAACATATGTTTAAGCGCTTACTCATGCCTTTTAAACTTGCCAATTGTTTGGTTTTTTGTTGTTTCTTTCTTCAATATGTTCATTAAAATTGTACGCTAAATTTCCCCCTTTTTTTTTTTTAAGGAGTTGCTCGAAGTTTGCCCTTCTCAAAGCCCTATTTTGCCAGACAAAAATTGAAATTAATTTATAATATTTATTTTCCAGAAGCAAACAATCTCTTAAATATAATATTTAAATATTTAGATAAGTAACTAACTTTGCTGACTTTTTGCAATTTGTTTTAACTTCCGATATTTATTATTATAATATGTGAAACTTTCCCAAAACAATTTATTCCAATTTTCAGCAAAGAATCTTTTAAATATATACTATATATATTATTTTAGTAACTTTTCTGACTTCCTACATTCCTTTTTTTTTTACTTTCCCAAATTGCATTCCCAACTGACATTGAACGCGATAAGGTGCAATGCACTGCAACTAAGTGCAACTGCAACGGGCAAATGGCAACAATAACTCATTAGCACGTGGCCCCAAACACCTTCCGCTGATAATACATGTAAAAACACATACAATATACTCATTTATTTGCCCATAACACACCTAGTTGATGCGTTCAAGAGTCGCAAACTCAGCCGAAGTTGAAGCGAGTTCTTGCACAACGCACACGCCCTTATTTACCTGCTGTTTACCTGATTAAGCATTAATCACGAACAACTGTCGTGTATACTTTATGGATAATGCACTCGCCCAATAGAGGGGGGTGTGGCGTGCGGCGTGTGGGCGGGGCAAAGAGCACACCCCAGCAGCTAGACAAGATTTCCATTAACAAACAACAAGAATGTCATCAGCATCAGGGCGACATACTCCACAGTGAGTGGGCAGCAGGAGCACTTGGCAAGCTGCCAAGCTACAGTGAAGCCTCTACTAACGGTCAGCTCACCTGTCAGAGAGAGAAGGGGAGTACAGGATTATGATACATATAGAAATCTACAGAATTAGACAAATTGGAATTCTCGTACATGGCCTAAAGCTAGCCATAATGTTTAGTTCTCATATTGTTTGCTTACTTTTTTTACAATATTCTCTTCTTATATTGAACTTTTTTCGAAATTAAATGGGAACATGCTTTAACTTGAAATATAAAGAAAACCCTCACTATGTTTTAGAATAAACTACGAATAGTTTTTACTATTAACCACGATATCTTTTACTTTGTGTTTGTAATGTTTATCAAAATCTTAAGCAGCACATAAAGTTTATGACTTCGGTTGTTCGCTTTAGAGCGCTCTAACTGTACCTAGTTCAGTCTGTTCGCTCTTGAGAGCTTTTACCGTACCTAGTTCAGCCTTTTGTTCACTAAAAAGAGCTACCACTGTACCTAGTACAGCCTGTTCACTCAATGGAGCTCTCACTGTACCTAGTTCAGGCTGTTGTTTGGTCTAGAGAGGTTTTACTGTCATTTTTTAGTCTGTGGCTCGCTCTAGAGAGCTCTCACTGTACCTAGTTTTGCCTGTTGTTCACTCAAAAGAGCTCCCACTGTAACTAGTACAACCTGTTCGCTCAAGAGAGTTCTCACTGTACCTGGTACAGCCGGATGTTCGCTCCAGAGAGCTCTCACTATACCTACTTCTGCCTATTATTCGCTCTACAGAGTGCTCACTGTTTTTAGTTCTGCCTTACCTTCTACAGACTGTGGTTCGTCTCATTATGTTGCCGACAGATTCTTTTTGCTTTGTTTTCTGCCACATTTCATGCTTTTAATTTTCCCATTTTGTCGCATTTCCCCCGCCAACCTTAGCCCGCCTCCGTTGAGTGTGCTTAGCTTTAAACGCGATTGCATTCTTTGAAAATAGCCATAGAAACTTCTGTTTTGAAATGTTTGCGATTGGTTACACAAAAATTTCAGTTTTAGAGCGCTTTGCAAGGTATCCGATGACAAGTCGAATATCATTTCACACATTTTGCATCGAGCTGACGTCAGCGCAAAGCTGACTGCGAGACTTGGAACTTTGCACCGTGTGCTGGGCACGCTCCTCCACATGAACACATCATCATCAAAATCCAGTTCCCAAGTGCATGTGGTCGAAAGAAGTTCCAATTTTGGGCTTAAAAAAACTGCAACAGGTAAATGGCTAAGAAGTTGTTGAGCTACATCACAAAGATTATTTTTAGACTTTATTTCATGCCTTAATAAACCTGCATATGGCTGAATGTTTGTTAAATTTGGACTATACTCAAAAGAAATACTTAAAAAGAGGGTATATTGTGGCTGGGACTATGTTTGCAACAGGCAAAAGTTTTAGTTGGAATCCCTTAGAGGGAATATATTCTTAATTAGCCAAGATTATCTATTCTAAAACGTTTAGGTTTATTTGATCACTTCTCCATTAACTATTTATTTGATAATTTCCTATTTGATTCCCAAGCATCTGAGAGGGAGAATATATATTGAAAGTAGGCTTTCTCTCTAGGCTTAGTTTTTTATACCCTGAGACATACAATTTAGATAACAAATAAGGAAGTTCTTTGGTAATGAGGTATTTCCTATGATTCAGAGCTGTTTACAGGGTATCTTCCAGTTCTTAACAATCAATCGAACTTTTCGCCATTTGTTTTGGCCATTTTTCGCTGATCGCGTAATTTGTTGAAATATTTGCTTTCGTTTCGAATTGTATATTATTTTATTTATTGCAGTTTTGAATATTTGTTTATCATACGGCATTTTGAGCTTGAAATTTTCCAACTGGATGCGCAACATTTGCGCCTCAGACTTTGATTCGATTATCAAAAGTGCCTCCAACGCCAGCTCCAACATGTTTTCATTTACTTAAACACAAGCCTTTGTTTGGCGACAACTGCGCCATTTCATGGAATTGGATAACATATGTATATAATTTATAATATAACGAAATGATTATGAGTCCACTCGTATATACAAGAAGTCGAATATATGATTATGATAACGCTACAGAAGTCTACAGCATTAGACTTAAAGCAATCTTCAGAGTACTTTTAAGTAAACGAAAGGCTGCTTATAAAAAAACAACAACTAAGTGAGATTTAGTCGGAAGTGCCCGACTAGGGGATACCCATCACCTACTTCTAGCTAGGGGTTCAATTATACTTGATCTTTAAAA